CGGGTCTCTCTCTCTCTCTCTCTCTCTCTCTCTCTCTCTCTCTCTCTCTCTCTCTCTCTCTCTCTCTCTTTCCATATATCTATCTATTCCACCCCTTTCTGCTCAATTCGACCACACTCCTGTGACACAATCCCGAGCAGTGACATCACGTTGTAGGCTCCAGTCAAGGAGCATCAGTGAGACTGAAGGAGGGGGTGCATCGCAGCTTGGCCGAGGTTGGGTGCTCCTTAAGTGCCGTTACGGGAGCAGTCGACCTGGATCATGAATATCCTAAAGGGGGGTGGGGTGGGATGCTACACCGCCAAAGTCCCGATTCGGCTTAAAATTGTGGAATTAGAGTCGCAGGCATGTTTAGCTTCCTCAGCCTCTCCTACAGCTATTTCATCGCATAAGAACCCCCAAAAGCCCTATTTCTTCCCATGCCGGGCATGTTTGATCCCACCATTTCCCCATAAAGTCAATATTTTATTTTTCTTTATCAGCCGTTTCCTCAAGACGCGATTTTTCTTTATACTTTTTTAAAATAACTCCACCATTTTTTATCCAATCTTCATGAAATCTTCTCAGAATGAAGAGGAAATGTAATGCTTAACATTTTCTGTTGAAGTTTTGATATATGGAATAGATTTTTGTTGGCGGTGTTCAGATAGTGGATTTTTACGACGGAATGTTTGCAAACTTGAATACTACCTCACGAAAAAATTCATTAAAAATCTTCTAACTTCTAACTCGTTTAGGAAAAATTCAACAGACATTTTTAGATCTTATGTTTGCTAACGTGCAAGCAAAAAAAAACAACCAATCAATTTCCAAGAAAAATAAGTGCGGTATTCATTACGTAAGACATGTCAACAAAATCCAATATGGCCACCGTATCCGTGGAAACGGAACTTTTTCTCAAATTTGATTGCGGCTTTTAAGACTCCTTACCATGCTTGTTAAATGTTCGACATTTGGTAAAATTTGGTCGGCTAATAGGCGGGATAGGTTTCAGGTGTAGCC